TTTTTTTTTTTTTTTTTGCAGTTTTTGGCTGGGGCCAGGTTTGAACCCGCCACCTCTGGTATATGGGGCCAGTGCCCTACTCCTTTGAGCCATGGGCGCCACCCAAGACCCATTTTTATTAATGAGTCTCAGAAGAGAAAAGGAGCCTGCTAAGGCCACACACAACTTTTGTAGTCAATCTGGGATAGGACTGGACATCACTGCTCTTTTCTACACATTACAAATTCTCCCCTGGAGTCTGAGTTATAGCTTATGCTGACATTTATAATAATGTTTGTTCCATTTAAGGCAGGAAATGTGAACTTCAACCCTGAACCTGAGCCTTGTGTATGTATATGTGTGTGTCCAAGTGCATACTTGTGTGTGCATTGGATACGTGGCTGCAATTTTATCTGTGTGTGGATGTTTGCGTGAGGGCGTGTGCACGTGTGAGCAGAAGTGTGTACATGGCAACATGTGTGTGTGTGGCACTTGTAGATGGGCATGCAAGCAGATATGGCTGTGTCTGTGTTTTTCTTTTCCTCTTTCTTTTAAGATTCCTTTAAAAATTCAAGCCCCTGACTTAAGCCTGGGCTTCCATCTGTGCCTCTAATTCTGGATTCTCCCCCATTCTCCATTTTCAGCTCCTCCCCTTTGATTCTCTCCTCTTTTCCCTAAGGCAGCAACTCCGCCCTCTGGGCCCACACCTCTTGGGTTTTGGAATTTAAATTTTCTTCCCTGTGTTGATGCAATGGAGGTGAGGTTTCTTTGAGAGCTGGGGAAGATTCCAGGTGGCATTTGAGCAAACCTTGAAGTCCTCTTTATATGCCAGTCAGAAGTGGCCCTTCCCAGCTGTAGTCCTACACCCAACACTCCCAGTCCTGGGGCAGGCTGAGCAAGGCCAGGAGGTGGGTGGACAGAAGGATGCCAGGCTGTGAGCCTTGGGCTTCATCAGCCACATCTGCATCCTGCCCACTCTGGCACAAATGTGAAGCCCTCGCTCTGCTGCTGCCCCAACTCATCCCAATTTTCCTATCCCACTCCCCCCACTGCCATTATCCTGCCCTTGGCCTGAAAAAATCACAGAAAACAATCAGTCAGAACAAAGGCAGACAGGCACCCACCAATTCCAGTAAAGGACAGTTCAGGGCATCCCCCAATCAAAGTAAAGGGCAGGTGGAGGAGCCCACCAATCAGAACAAAGGACAGACTGTTCTTTCTAAGCCCCCTGGAGCAGGAGCTGGGGGTTGGGTGCTGAGCAGGAGCCAGACAGGGGCTAGAAATCTAGAGATTTAGGTTCTGGATCTGGCTCTGCCCTGACTGGTAGGCTGACCACAGGTGGGTCATTAGTTCTTTTTAAGCCTCAGTTTCCTCATCTGTCAAATGGGGAGACTTAGCAGTCCGAAGCCCATAGCTTTGAAGATTTTCTTCCCCCATATCAGGTTCACTCCATCAACTGGGCCCCTCTTCCTCAACTCTCCAGCACATGCCAGACTCCAAGGAGGGCAGGGTCTGTCAGGGGTCAGCTTGTTGACTCCCCTGCCTGGAGTCAGCACCACCTTCTTCACCCTGCTCTTGGAGCCTCAATCTGGGGAGCTTGGGTCTAGAGGACTTTATCTTGGGACTGTTTTAGGGCATTTCTTCTCCTTTTTAGTCTTTAGAATTGATCTTGAAAGGCTACAGCAGCCTACATGCATACTGTGTATGCAGGTGTTACTCACGCCTTTGCCCTCTGAGTCTATAAGAAAGTAGCTGTACTGGTGAGAACCTGTGTGTGTGTGTGTGTGTGTGTGTGTGTCTGAAGGCATGCTGAGGTGTCTGCGAGATTATGGGGGTCTGTGGCTGTGTGGCACTGAGTGTGTGTGAACTGTGATGAGGACCACCTAAGGGTCAAAGGATAGCAATTATGTTGTCTGGAATCAGACAGCTTCCTATGTCTGAAGGCATGGTACCTTGTGACCATGATGTATCTTCATCCTTGAGCAGTGGGAGAGATTAAAGGAAGACTGGGGGGCGGAGTGGGGAAAGCAAGGCCAGTGAGCATTTGGGGAGAAAGCCCATTGCTGCCCTGCTTCTCCTGGGAGCATAGGTTTGAGTTGGAAGGGGGAGGAAACTGCATCCAAGAAGATCCAACAGTGACATTTGGAACTGAAGTCTGAACCCCAGGTTCACTTAAACCCCAGTACAGAACTCCCCTCTGCAGCTTTTCTGAACAATGGACATTTAGCCCATTCTTGCACACCTTCAGAGATGGGGGGCTCACTTCCTCCCTCTCTCCTGATGGCCTCTGCCTTTGTAGCATGACTCTGCTTGGAGGAAGGCCTTCCATCCTACTGACCAACACCGGCCTCTATGAAATCTTATGGTCCCCAGGTGTCCATGGAGTCACAGAGCTCAGTCCCCTCACCCCAGAGGATCACAGAAATTGGAGTTGGAGACTGAAAGCCCTGGGTCTGCTTTGCTTTAGATGAGGCATCCCTAGGTTATTTTGTCTTAGTCGGGCAGGGGACTTGGTTTCCAATTCCTTCCTTACATGGGTCACCTCCTGTGGATGGATCTCATCTTATCCTCACCTGGGACACAATGAAGTGGGGATGGTCTGAGGGAGTTATTTGGTTTAACAGACCTCTATTAATACAGCCTCCAGTTTCAGCATTTTAATCTCTTACCAGCCATGGTTACACTGTGGGTTCATGCTGAGTTGGTGGTCCTCTAGGACCCTCAACCTCATGTTATTTTCACAAGAATGGAGGTCAAACCAGTCTCCTTCATCTTGTAATTAATCACTTTGCTTTTTGAACACAAACCCAACCATCCACAGGGAAGACATCTGAAAGGATTTCCAAGGGCTGTGGGGAGGGCATGGCTGAATGGATGGTGTGAGTCACGATCCTGCCTTGGCCCTGGATCCCCTGTTCTGTTACCTTTCTCTTTGATCCCTGTGGTTCTGGCCAAGTTAATGGAGTGAGAAGCAGAGACTTTTGTTGTCTCCATTCAAGCTCTGCAAGGACAAGGCCTGTTCCTGGGATGGGAGGTTTGGGGAGCAATCAAGGCTGACTTCTCTTTTCCATCCTGTGGTTGCCACGGCTGGACCAACTCTTTTCACACCTTATGGCTCGTACACCCACAAGACTCTTGCTACTTTCCACCCAGCCCCTCACAAGACTGGAAACAAGCCTGGGTTAGACCACTGTCTTCTGGAGAGAGTGAGCAGGACCCAGCTTCAGCAAACATTCAGAGCACCCCTTCTGTGCTGGGTACTCTGTGAGGCACTTTTATTTATTTCATTTTTTTTTTTTTTTTGGAGACAGTCTCAAGCTGTTGCCCTGGGTAGAGTACTGTGGTGTCACAGCTCACAGCAACCTCAAACTCTTGGGCTTAAGAGATTCTCTTGCCTCAACCTCCCAAGTAGCTGGGACTACAGGCACCCACCACAACACCCAGCTATTTTTTTGGCCTGGGCTGGGTTCGAACTTGCCAGCTCCAGTGTATGTGGCTGGCGCCCTAGCCACCTGAGCTACAGGCACCGAGCCTGTGAGGCACTTTTAGTGTTCAGTTTCATTTTTATTTTCATTTTAGAGCTCTATTTCATTTTGTCTTCATGTCAGCTTGTGGGGGCAATAGCCGCAGTTACCCCTAATTTACAGATGTGAGACACAGGCTCGATAGCTCAACCAGGACACATATTGCTAATATATGGTGGGGCAAGTATTCAAATTTGTTTTTATTTTGTTTGTTTGCTTGCTTTGTTTTGTTTTAATGTGGAAGCTTTTGAGCTTTCCCTACTATGCCCAAGTTGTCCTTGACTAAAGGATAAGAGATCCAGCGCCCAGTTCAGGCTTGACCTCTTGACTCACCATGAGGCCCTTGCTAAGTCCTTGGCCCTTCTCTGAGCCTTAGTTTCCCCATCTATAAAATGAGAGGACTCAGACATTCTATGACCTTAAAGACTGTTTGATTCTGAGATCCTAAGATCCCAGGATTCAAGTGTCTGAGAGCCTCAGGCTCTGATCTAAGCAGAGGGAACTTCTGGCCTGTTTGACAACACCCCTCACTGCCCTTTCCTCTCTTCCAGGATGCTTTGCTGAGCCTGGGCTCTGTCATCGACATTGCAGGCCTGAGACGAGCTGTCAAGGAGGCCCTGTCAGCTGTGCTCCCCAGAGTGGTAGGTGCCTTACACCCAACCTTGACCAGCTCTGTGCTGTACTTTACCCAGGGTAGGAGGGAGGAAGAGGCAGGGCCTCTGCCCAGAGGACTCTCATGGGAAAGTGAAGGGTCTGGGGAGTGTTCTGAGAGGGCTTTCTGGAGGAGTTGGCCTGAAGCTAAGCGACAAAGAATGAATTTACACAGGAATCCTCCAATGTCTAAGCCTGAGGGACCTTAGAGGTTAATTGGAAGAACTGTGTCTCAGAAAATGGAAAAGATTCACCTAGGATAACAGTTATCACATAGTGCAGTCAGGTGGGTTTTGGAATATGTGCAGCAGGAGAGGTTGAGGGTAGACATGCAGAAGAACTTACTGGAAGCCAGGACTGGGAGGTGCTACCATAGCCCTCAGACTTGATGAATAGATTGGTTTAAAATGCCCTGGGTTAAAGTGCCCTACCTGGAGATAGGATACTGGAAAAGTGGCCTCTAGCAATGTTTCAGCTTATTTCCATCCCATCCCAATACCGTGGATGGGGTTGCAGGGTTAGGGCAGGTAGAGAGTGGTAACCATGGTTGCCTGGGCCTAGAGTGCCATGTTGGGGGAATCGTACACCACTTTTGCTTCCCTAGGCCACTCCCCAACCTGGCTTCCATGGCCAGTGTTCCTCCCTTAGGCAGGAGGGTAGATAAACTGATCTTCAAGGCCCAAAGCAGCAGTTGTCTCAGTTATGCCAAATAGAGGGAAGCTAGACTTTTGGAGCCTGGGGAAGGCGATCTGATCTAGCCTAGGGGGCACAGAAGACTTCCTGGAAGAGGAGATGCCCACATTGAGTCCTGGTGGCCATGAATGTCCTCTTTCCTGCTCTAAACACCAGCCAAAGGCAGTCTCTGCTTTAGGAAATAGGGCCAGCTCAGAAGGCAGCCTCCCCACCCTACCAGAGCCCATTGTCCCTGAATCTGCTTGATGGATGAGCAAACCGGAGGCTCAGAAAGGAAGGGCGCTCCCCCAAGGTCACACAGCATGACAGGGACAAATGGGACTTGGCACCTAGGCACCCCCTTTCCCTCTCCTTGGTTCTGCCTTCCCAAAACCTCCTAGAAGTTCAGAGCCCAGAAGGAGAGCTAATGAGTGAGCTTTATTGAGCGTGAAATTGGTAGGAAGTGGGTGGTGTATTGGTGCCCCAAAATAAATCCTCCCAGAGAGGGATGGGACTGAGGCAACATCTGGCCTGGTCTAGAGGCACATCTGGAAAGGGAGGGTGGGGGAAGCTGGCAAGTCAGTTTCCTCAGGGCTTCCTGGAGTGGCCATTGAGGCAGCCCTGGGAGCAAGAGGAGGAACTGACTGACTGCTTGTTTGCACAGGCAGGGTGCCCTGGTCCGTGTGCCAGTACGGATGCATCGGATTAATTGTCTCCTCAAAGCTGGGGGCTGGGATGACAGCTGCAGTCCTGGTTCCTGGCCCACCCAAGACCTGCAGGCTCTTGGGAAACCCTGATCGTGGGGAGCCCTGTCTTAATTTTGTGGAAGGCTCAGCCCCCAGTGAGGTTAAGGTAGCTGAGGTCAGCTTTGCCCCCAGGGAGGGGTTGGGAGGTGGGGAGGGGTCCCCCCTCTTCAGAGAGGAATGCTGCTGGCACCTGGCTTCCTCATCAGCACCCATTGTGGCAGGCAGCCCCAAATGCAGATGGTGCTGTTGTGTCTGAAATGGTTCCCTCCTTCTCTCCAATAAACTCAGCTAATTTTAACTCAGAGGACTGAGAGTGAGGGGGTGGGAGATACACGGACATCCGGAAGTGAAGTGAGGATCTGTCCCCCTCTGACCCAACAGTGATGGATTAACCACCCCTCTCTCTGCCTGGGCAGGACTCTCTCTGTGACCCTGGATGGTCTCTTAACCTCTTATGGCTAAATACCTCAGGCCCCTCCCAGGCTGCTGGAAGAGTCAGATGACAAGAAGGAGGCTGGATATAGCAGGGGAGTGGGCGGCCTCCTTCCCACTGAATTCTTTAACCCTGAGTTCTCTGCCTAGATGCCTGGACTCCCCTGGAGGACAAGGGGGCTCCAAGCCAGACAAGAGGGTGTCTGCCCTGCTCACTCTCCTCAGGCACTATCATCCCCACCCCACTGCTACCATTGAACCTGACTCAGTGTCTCTGGAAATGGTGGCCAAGCCATCTCCTGGGTATTGGGAGGAGGTAGGGGCTGGCTAGGGACAGACAAGGGCATCAAGATTGGCTGGCAGGATTATAGAGTCACAGAAGAAAACTGCTTCTGCTGAGAAGGATTCCACGCTCACTGAGGATGGACCTATAACACTGAGCTCCCCTGTCGCCCCCTCTGGAAGCCCTCCCAGATACTCCTTATACCCTTAGCAGAAGGGAGAGCCTTCCTCCACCCTCCCACAGAGAAAACTGCAGAGTTACCCTACAGGCCTGTGCCTAAAGGGGGCTGGTGAAGGAGGCCTAAGGGGTACTGTTCTGTTGGGAAGGAATGTGAATTTTTGCCTGTAGGTCATTGAGGGCGACTACTTTTGCCAAAACTTGGCCTGAAACTGAGGCCCAAGACTACTTTAGGCTCTTGGGGAGGGCAGATTGAAGAGCTGAAGACTTAATAAGGCTGGAACAAGAGCTTTGATCTCACTCTGGGGAATGATTGGTCTAAAATATAAATCTGCTCACAACTCTCCCTTTGGCCCCACCCCCAGCTCTGTTCACAAGGCCCTTCCTGTTCAGCCAGGTGGACCCCAGCTTTCCACAACCCATGGCCCTTGCATTGTCAGTTCCTAAATGCTCCATGCTCTTTACACCTCTGGACCTACCTGCATACATGCTGTGCCCAGGAGCCAGTCTACACTGGGCCTGCTCCTTGAATGTGTTTAATTCCTACTCAATTACAGCTTAAAGGTCACTTCCTCCAGGAAGCCCTCCTCAGCCTCCACAGAGGACAGGAGCGCAGTGCCTTGCTCTGCGCTCCTGTCCTGTCAGGTCATGGGTTTGTGGTTTCTGGTGGAGTTGTAGGAGGGAAGCTTCCTGGGACCTTCTAAGCCCCTTCCCTGGTATGGCCCAGAGAAGGTGCTCAGTTATTGTTTGCTGAATGCCAGAGGCTAGAGTCAGGCTGGAAAATATTCCCTGGTAAAAAGTAATTTGTCTGCACCTTCAGCCCTTCAAACGCTTTCCCTAGCACCTTGGCTCTGGGGTAACAGGTAAAGAAAGTTGCAGGTTCCGGGATTACTGCCTGCTCAGAATTCCTTCTAATACGAGAAGGTGAAGTGCTAAGTTCATAAAGGTGTTTTGTCCCCCTGGCTGCACATATGAATAACTTGGGGAGTAAAAACAAGCAAACAAACACACAAATGCAGAGATCCACTCCCAGAGGGTCTGTGACCTTGCCATGCAGACCCCTGTGTGCAGACTGGGACTGGGCACCTGGGAGGGCCTCTCTGCAGGATCTCATAAGTGCCTTCTGTCCTAGGAGACTGTCTATACCTACCTGCTGGATGGGGAGTCCCGGCTGGTGTGTGAGGACCCCCACCATGAGCTGCCCCAGGAGGGGAAAGTCCGGTGAGCCATTCTCTGCACCCGCATTGCCTTCTGTAATGGCCAGTGTTTCTCAGGGCTGAGGCACCTTCCAAGGTCATCTGTTCTGGCCCTCCCCATCCAACCTTGACCCCAGCCTCCCTGCCAGATGGGCTTCCTTGGCCAGGTCACTGACCCCAGCATAGAAGAGCAGAAGTGATGTCTTCTCTCTGCTGGGAAATTGGGCCCAGGGAAAGTGCCAATTGGTAGGTTTTCTGCTCACAGAGTTCTTTTAAATTGCTGTGGCCTCCTTAGAGCGAGGTCTGAGAATGTTGGGGCGATGGTGTCTATCAGTTAGAATCCCAGCACACTATGAGAAGTCCCTATGAGACTGGACACAGGATGCTGGGCCTGCAGGAGCTCATGGTGCCAACCCCTGTATCTGAGAATGGGAGATCAAAGGCAGTATCCTGTTGAGGGTCCAGGGACCACACTGCCTGGGTTAAAATCCCAGCTCCCTCTTTACTAGCTGTGTAACCTCAGGCAAATTACACAGCCCCTGTGCCTCAGTTTTCTTGTTTGTGAAATAGTGATAATAATACTGCTTATCTAAAAGGATTGTTGGGAGGATTTGTTGAACATATATGCTTTTGTGAACACACAAGCATTTAAAACAGGCTGATCATTGATGAATGCTATGGTATTATCAGTAGGAAGAAATATCGGAGTCATTGACTTTAGGGTCATGGGATCGGTTCCTTGTCCCCTGATACCTCTGGGCCCATTGAATTCAGCCTCATTTTCTTTTCTTTTTCTTTTTTTTCAAATCAGCTATTTTTATTTTATTTTATTATTTATTTATTTATTTATTTTTTTTTTTGCAGTTTTGGCCGGGGCTGGGCTCGAACCCGCCACCACTGGTATATGGGGCCGGCGCCCTACTCCTTGAGCCACAGGTGCTGCCCCTTAGCCTCATTTTCTTGATGGGCAAATGCCATGAGATGTGTCCAAGGCCACATGCCAGATATGAGGCAGAACTAGGCTTGGGACACAGGTCGCCTGGCTCCTGGCCATTCAGGGGACAGTGAGAGAAAGTAGAACTTGGCAGATAAGAAATTGTTGAGGGTAAGAGAGCTGTGGAGAGGAGGCAGCTCTGAAGGGTGTGGCCATTGCCTTCTAAGCACCAAACGAAGGGCTATGGTGGGACCCAAGTAGCACTGGGTAGGGAGCTGAGGGCAGAGTGGGCACTGGTGTGGTGTTCCCAGAAGGCAGCTCTCCATCCATGAGGAGGGATTTTGAAACAGGTCAAGCAGTCCAGGGATGTGGCTTGTTCAGGTAGCAGCCAAGCCTGGGAAGCCAGTCACCTTTCCTGGAGGCCATAGAGAGATGGACTCATGGACTCATGATCCTGAGGCCCCTCCTGGCACTGGGAACCCTGGATTCGAGGATATTGGCCTCCCTGGCCCTTCCTCATGGAAGTAGCTGGGTCTTCTCCAAAAGTCCAGAGTCTTCCCACATCCTGTTCTCCCAGTGAGTTCCTTTCAACCTCTCCTGACAATTCCCCTCAAGTACTATGTGAACAAAGCCACTGACCACCCCTCTCTGGCCTCCATGTCCCATCTGAGAGGTCTTTGGGCTCTTAAAGAAAAAAAATACAGAATATCCCCTTTGCTCCTCTGAACTGGCACCTCCTATCCCTGATTCTAAAGAACTTTGCCTACTATGAGCTCAACTCCTCTGGGAAGGCTCCTTGAAGTAGCCTGGGCAGCAGCCTTCTAGCGGGAGAGAGGATATGAGGCTAAGGAGGCAGGGGGGGCATCAACAGGGTCTGCCCTGCCTCTTCTCACCTGCGCACTCAGGCCATCTGCTGCGTGGCAGAGAGGGAGGTGTCTGTGGCTCAGGCCTCTATGAGGGGGCTCAGATCCCCACAACCCTTTCAGCATCCCTTCCAAACACTTTAGACTCAGTAAGGCCTTTGGAAAAGTTACCCCAAAAAAGCAATTAAAAGTGAATGTTCAAATGCAATTATCTCAGAGCTCAGTGGAGATGGGGAGGCAAGTGCCTGCTGGCAGACAGGGGTCAGAGATTCCAGGAGGCTGAGGTGGGCTAGAGGATGTAAGGGCAAGGAGGATGAGAGGGGTGATGACAGTGGAGGCGTCCTGGGGGATATAGACATCATCGTTCATCAGGCCAGCAAGGACTGAGTGTGGAGGTTCAGGCTTGGTGCTCTTTCTGGTATCCTTGCTCTCCAGAGGCCTTGGTGTCTGCCTGGTGTCTGTTAGTGAGCCCATCACACAATTAGGGCTGAGAGGTCCCTGGGCTGGCTTCAGGAGTTCCCAGCAGGATGCAGCCTTCAGACCTAGGTATATGGAAGAAGAAAGAGTGCTGGAATAGGAGTCAGACAGACCTGGGTTCTAGCCTGGCCCCATCCCTGCCTTACTGTGTCCCTCCTGGAGAACTTACCTATTGGCTTAATGAGATAATAGGTGCTAAGTGCTTATCACAGTGCCCAGGCACACAGTAGGAGCTCAGTGATTGCTAGTTGCACTCTCAAGTCTTAACCTATGATTAGCATTGGCTGATCTTCAGAAAATCACTTTTCCTCTGGACTCAGTCTCTTTTTCTGTGAAATAGATCAGTGGGGTTGAGTGCGGGGTTCTTCCAAGGGTGACCTCTGTGGCTCTGGTCCCATCAAGAGGTAGAGGTACCTGCCTGCAGGCTGAAGTGAAGCCTGAGGCTCTGGCAGTGCTGAGGGAGGGGGGCATTCCTCCAGGAAACCCTAGATGGCTGGCAGGCTGGCAAACAGCAGCAGGTGTGACGTGGTGGATGGATCATAAAGACAGATAAGGCCCATAGGGAAGGTGTAGAGCACAGGCTTCGGGGGGTGGGGGAAAAGCAAGGTGGAGATGGATCAGGCAGGAGTGATGAGGCCTCTGCCCCGGGCACTGTGCAGGCTTTCAGGTGTCCAGCTTTGTGCTCCAGTGGCTTCCTCCCTTCTGTGCTTGCTGTGCTATTTGCTCCCCTGCTCCCCCTCCATCTCAGCCAGCTTCATTCTACTTATCCTTCATGGTCCAGCCAGAAGCCCTCTTCAGGAAGCCTGCACCACAGCTCCCCGGCATGGAGGATGATCCAAGTTTCAGAAAATGTGTCTGGGCCATAGTACCCCCTGCCCCCAGAGATGGATCTTTCCACAAGAATAACCTTGGACTGGGGAGGTGGGAGACCTGGGATCTGGACAACATGACTGCTGTTGCAAGCCCCTGCACTTGCTCTGAGCCTCCATCAACTCTTTTCTGGACATTCTCATGTTGAGGGCTGGAGAGGCTTTGAATTCTAAGTGCTGGAGAGGAGAGATTCCTGGAAGGCTGCCTGGACCAGGGTTTTCTTGGAGGCTTTGCTTGCCTTTTACTGGTACCCTGCCACCCCATCTCCCAGCCTACTTCAGCCCCCACCCTGCCACCTCCTCTTCTCCTGCCATCTTAAAGCCTCTGATTACGTGCTGCTGAGTGCAGTGAAAATCTCAGCCTTTCAGCTGCAACTGAGGCACCGCCCCCCCCACCCCCCCCACCCCACCCCCCCACCCCGCCGCCAGCCAGGCTGCTTGTCTCCCTCCATTACCACTGGGGATTCCACACAACACCCTGAGGAATTTCTTCCTTAGAGCAGACCTGATCTCCTTTCACTATGGACTCTGGCTGTCCCTCCGATTTGTCTTGGAGAACACAGGGAATATAATCCATTCCCATCCCTGACTCTCACATTCTGGGGGATAGGGAGAAGTGAAGGTCAGAAAGGAAGGGGCTGAGGCTCAGTGAAGTAGAGGGTTCAGTGAGGGGTGGAGCTTAGGGAAGGACTTGGGCCCTCAGTTAGGGCTGGGACTTGGTGAAGAAAGGGCTTGGGAAAGGGGGAAGGGGCCCTGCTGAAGTGGATAATCAGAGAAGGATGCAGGGCCTCAGAGAGGTGGAAGGGGGCCTGGGTACTCAGCTCTTTCCAGGCCACTGACCCTACCAACAGAGAGCCTTTCCTTCTTTTTCCATTAAACAAATAGTTGTTAAAGGCACGGAACTGTCATAAAATCCACGCCCGTTCCTTTCTCCACTCTGTGCCCATCTGTCTTTATCTTCAGTGGGGCAGACCATGACCACCCAGGCACCCAGGGCTGAGTCATTAGCCCTCAGCCTTGACAGCTGGCTCTGGGGTACGGAGTCCCCCCCAATCCTAGCATCAGCCCCAAAGGTGGGGCAGAGGGTGGGGAATGAGGAAGAGAGGAACTGGAGAGGAGGCAGGGAGGTGATATGAGTTGAGAAGAGAGCCATTGGGGGTCTGAGCAGTAAACACAGCCCCCCCCCCAACATGGATGGTGGAGACTCAGCCTTGAGACTGCCTACTTTGTAATCTGCGGACATCTCTGAAGCCTTTGGCAGTGTGGCAGTTCTGGGAAGGGTAGGGCTGAGGAAAGGGATGGCCATGGGAGTAGGTTGAGGTGAACACGGCTTGGCACATCCCTGCCCTGGGCTGTGGGACCTAACAGTGCCAGGGGAGGACAGGTTGCAGAGCAAGGTACCAAGACTTCCTGAGGACTGATGATGTTTAGAGGTCCTGGTACAGGGTGATCTGCCCAAGCCCAGCCTCTTCTCTCCAGGGCCACTAAGATGTTGGTGCCCTCACTGAGACCAGACTTCTGTGTCAGGTTCTCTTTCTGGAGTGAGAGTTTTACCTGAGCAGCCAGGATGATCAGTTTGAAATTAACCCAAGGGCTGGGTGCAGTGGCTCACTCCTTTATTCCTAGCACTCTGGGAAGCTGAGGCAAATGGATTGCCTGAAGTCACAGGTTTGAGACCAGCCTGACCCAGAGAAAGACCCTGCCTCTAAAAATAGCTGGGCATTGTGGCAGGTGCCTATAGTCTCAGCTAGTTGGGAGGATGAGGCAAGAGAATTGCTTGAGCCTAAGAGTTTGAGGTTGTTGTGAGCTATGATGTCACAGCACTCTACTGAGGGTGACAAAATGAGACTGTCTCAAAAAAAAGGAAAAAAGAAAAAAAACCAACCCCCAACCATTACCTTCCCCCGGCGCTCCCAGTGGCCACAGGATTAAGCTCCTGTGGGCCCTGGCCCTGACTCACTTGCTCTCTGCTGTCCAGCCACCCCAGTCTCCTTTGTGGTTGGATCTGGCAACAGACACACAGTTCTCTCGCCCGGACTTTTGCACATGCAGTTCCCTTTCCTAGCTGTCTTGGTAGCCTTTGCATGCCCTTCTGGATCAACTCAGGTGTCTTCTTCTCCATGAGGCCCTCCTGGCCCCACTCCTGGGTAGGCTGGGGCCTGTTTGTCCTCCCTGTCAGAGCCCTCATCTTCTGACTCAAGCGTGGGTCTGCATGTCAGCCTCTGTAGGATACTGACCTCCTCAGGCCGGGCTTGTAGCTAGCTCTTCTTCTTAACTCATCCCAGCCCTCAGCACTGACCCAGAACGACCCTGTGGAATGAAAGACTTTAAGAAGAAAACTCCCATAATAATTTTAGTCTAGAACTTATTTTTGCTCTGGTATGGAAGAAGGATTTAAGAGATCCAGATTGGAGGCCAGAGGGAAGAGGGTGCTCTAGGCTTCTGGGGAAAGGTTGTCTCCATTTGAGCTGGACAGAGGCCTGGGGATAGGGAGCAGGGGACAGCTGTGCAAGATACATGGGCAGGGACGCACTGATTGGTGGGAGAGGTGAGAACAGTTTTTGGACAAGCTGCTGAGAACCCAGTGGGTGGTTATGGCTGGGGAGGTCTCCACATAGTCTTTGGGTTATCTGGGGTCTGGAGCTCCTGAGTGAGGGCTGGAGTGTCATGAGGCCCTGGGCGCAGAGGAGGGATTTTGTGCAGAAGAGAAGAAGAGCTGTGGACAGAGTCCTTCATCAGGGTTCTGGGAGAAAGAAGCCAAGGCAACCCTGTCTAGGGGTAGCAAGGAGGATAGTCAGGGGTTGGTGGGACGAGGCCACAGGGCTCACTGACCAGCAATGCAAGGACAGCGCCACCTTGTGGCTTCCTGATAACCAGACAGTCCTGGGCTAAGCAGCTGGGTAGCTGGATGGGTGAGGTTTGGCTGAAGGTCACCCACTGCTTCTGTGAAGCCTCAACCTTCATCAGTGTAGTCATCAGGGAATGTGGCTCCTGTTGCCCTCCTGCCAACCTAGTTCCCTATTCCTTCCTGGGAAGACTGGCCATTGAGACAGCCCAGAACTAAAGTCCAGCACTCCAGGAGCTTTGAATGTCCTGAGTGTGAGGGTTGGCAGGTGGAAGACACTACTGGTTCTTGTAGATTCTGGACTGCTCAAAGGGGCCAGGAGAGGAAGGGTCTGGCTGCCTGACCTTGAATGAGATGATCAACCTCTTTGGTGTGACCTGCCATCTGATGACTTTCAGGCCACCCCTCTCTTCTCCTCTTCTGACCTTTGCTGGGCTTTCCTTAGTGACCCCACATGCACACTCCAGAATCCCAGCTCCCGAGCTTCTCTTCTGTTCAGACCAAGCAGCTCCTACAAGTACAATTAAGTGGAGGCAGCATGAGGGATGAGGAAACCAGGACAATTAATTAGCAAGGAATGACAATTGGTGAAAACTCAGGTGCTTAATTAAGCAGGAAGAGCCAGAAGCCAGGAGGGTAGGGGGTGTGGGGGTGGTATGTATGGTGGGGCAGAGAGAAACTCATTTTTCCCACACCAACTTCTCCCGCTTCAGTTCCCACCTCCCTTCCCTGTCTGTTACATCCTGACACTCATGCTAGTCCCCTGTTCAAGGCTCACACAGATCTTTGGGAAGGTTAGAGCATAGTGGTTAAACCCAGCTCTGGTGCCACCTGCCTGGGTTTTAATCCTGGTTCTATCGCTTATTAGCCATGTGACCTTGGACAGTTTATTTAACCTCTTGGTGCCTTATCTTCTCCCCCTGAAAATGAAGGTGATGACAACATCTAACTCAGAATTGCTGGGAACTCTATGTTAATCTAGTAAGTTGCTTGGGCTGTGCATGTCACATAGGAAATGGTCAATGAACTTTAGTTCTGATAGTAACATCCAGGAGTCTCCCTGTGCTTAGCTCAGAAGTTGCACTACAATTGAAGATAGCTATTGGAAGGCTTCTGCTCTTCCACCCCCACCCCGCCCCCAGTTCTCCTCGCGAAGCTCAGAGAGGTCAGGTCACTTGCCAAGGCAGGATTGTTCCAGGCAGCTCAGCTCTGAGTCCTTGCATTCACTTTCTCTGCTCTCCTCATGGCCTGGGGGTTCTGTGCTGGTTCGGGGCCCAGCCTTTCCCACATTTACCAGCAAGGCTCTAGAGGCCAGACCATGGCCCACATGGGGCCCGGGTTCCCTAACTCTTATTTTTGCTGCCCTCATGTCTGCCCTGAGGCAGGTCAACTTGTCCTGATCCTCTCACATGTGCAGGGTCCAGCCTGCTGTGTGTTCCCAGGCTGGGGCCTGCTCCTCTTTGATCCAGGGGGCTCTCAAGGTGGATCATGTCCTCTTTTCAGAGAGGCTGTGATCTCCCGGAAGCGGCTGGGCTGCAATGGGCTAGGCCCCTCGGACCTGCCAGGGAAGGCTTTGGCCAGGCTGGCGGCTCCACTGGCTCCTGACACCCAAGGTAAGGGCTGGGAGCTGGACAGGGGTAGGGAGGGACCATGGCCCCACATCCCAGGTCATGTCTGTCTTCTACCCATCTTTATCTCTCTGTCTCCTTCTTCCTCTTGTGCTGTGTCTTTAGCAATTTCTCCATCTAATTCTCTATTATGCTACTAACCTCCCTGAGCCTCAATTTCATGACTGTACAAAGGAGACCTTGAGGGGATGTTTGGAGGAAAAGCAAAAGAGAGGATGCATGTTAAAGGCCTGGAACATCCCAGGGCTCGGAGGCCGCGGGCTGTGGTTGTGATGTGCTCGTGCCTGTTGCTGGACGGGGCTGCAGTTGTCCTCATGCTCTCTCTGTCACTGTCCCTGTTTCTCTTCTTCTCCATGCCCCCTGTCCGCCACGTCTCTCTCTGCCTCATGTCTCAGTCTCTCTAGGTCTCTGTCCTCTGTGTCGATGTGGAAAGTGCACAAGACTGGGAGTCAGGAGACCTGACTTGCTGTGTGATCTTGGGCAAGTCACTTCCTCTTTCTGGACCTCAGTTCCCCAGTCTGTAAAACAGGGTTGCTCAGCCTTACCTGCCTGCCTCCCTGCCAGGGTTACTGGGAGGATCACAAGAGAGTTGTCAAATGAGGGGGTCTCCTTCTGCACAGGGGTAGTTGCTGTGGTTGTTTTGTCACTGCCTTAGGCCTCGTCTCTTTGTCTCTCTGGGTCTCTGGGTCTCTTTTTGTCTTTGTCCTGGCCTCTGTCTGCATCTTTGTCTTGCTCCTTGGGTCCTAGCTCAGTATTTCTGAGCCTCACTGGCCCTGCAGGACCATTTCATTGCCCTCTCCCCCTCAGTGCTGGTCATACCACTGGTGGACAAGGAGGCCGGGGCTGTGGCAGCCGTCATCTTGGTAAGAGTCTACCCGGGTAGGTGTGGGGTGAGGTGGGGGAAGAGACCAGGGGAGGGAGTGGTAGGTGGAGAGAGAGTGGGTATGTGTATATTTGTGTGTGTGCATGGGGGTGGTGGTGATGTAGTGACGAAGTAGTGATGAAGCTGGGATGTAGTGACAGGGGATGGAGCATTTCCCATGCCCCAAACCCTCTGTCCCACCTTGAATGAGCTGGATGAAGCCACTGGCCGCAGTAGATGACTTTCTGAGGGATGCACAAGCCCCATCTAGTCTGTCAGCACCTTGGAAAGCCCAGCGCTTTGCACAGCCCTTGGTTCCTATCTGGGATCTTCCCAGATAGGCTGGGGACAGTGCCCAAGAGAGCATGAACACAGCGAGGTGGGAAGTGACCCAGAGGCACTGAGGAGGGAGGGATTACATAAGGCACTGAGCAATAGAGACAATGAGGTAAACCCAGTCAGAGATTCCAGGTGGCTGGAGCCAGGGGTTTCAGGAGAGGACCCCAGCACAGGGCTGAGGCTGGGCAGAAGCCAGGCAAGGAGAGTGGGCTTCCTGGAGGGGGTGGGGTAGGGCCTCAGTGGGAAGTAGGGAATGCTCTGAGAGGTCAGCAGGGCTGGGAACTCAGGAGGGCTCCCTATTGCCCTCATGGAGTTCCCAGGTCTCTGCTCTTCTATAGGGTGTGAGGTGGGGGAGGTTTGGAGGGTAGTAGAGGGAGGGGGCGGTGTCCTGCCACTCTTCCAGTCTTTTCTCTGGTGTGCAGGTGGGGGTTCAAAATCCTTGTTCTCTCCTAGGAACCAAAGAGTGAGGGCCTGAATCACTATTACGGGAGACCTGCTTCCACCAGACCTGCTACCACCCCCATAAGAAGCAGGCTTAGGGGCACAGACAGATAAATAAACCAGTCTTGGTGCGCCCGCCCAGAGCTCATTAAAGTGGAATTAAAGGCTTCCCAGGCTCCTGACCTTTCCTGAGCTGCTGGCGGAGATGGTGGTGGGTGTGGGGGCAGCTTGGAAGCGAAAGGAGGGGAGGGCAGGGGTACTTGGCTTGTGTCCTCTGCTCCCATCTGCCCGGACGGAGGGAGATGAGGCCCCTGCTCAGTTTCTCCAGGAACTGCTCCGCCTACCCTAGCTCCTGCTCCGCAGGGAAGGGATCTGCAGTTGGCACCAAGTTCTCAGTGGGCCCAGGCGCTTCCCCGCTCCTTGCTCCCTGTCTGTTTGGGAGGACCAGGGTTGGGGTAGTGTGCAGAGTGGGGGCTTGGTACCGGTAGTGGCAGGTGGCACACCTCCTTCTCTGTTGAGGAAAAAGGACTAGCGGTTCCTGAGAAGGACTTCCTGTGTTGAGGCTGTGAGGACTGGGTCACAAGGGAAGCAGTGTTGGCCAGGGGAAGACATTGGGAAGGTTGTTCATCTTGTGGGCAAGAGAATTGTCTCTGTGACCGTTACTCACCTTGGGTCAGGTTGGGCCAGGAGTCCAGGCTTCAGCCTTCTTCCAGGGGAAGGAAAGACCAGAGTGTGTGTGCGCTCTCGCCTGTGCCTGTGTGTGCCCGTGTGTCTGTCTCAGAGAGGGTGGTGAGGTCAGATCACTTAAGTTTAACCCACTTGGTAGAACCTTGCTATGGGCCCCATCCCAGGCTGAGTGCTGGAGCAAACCATATCTGCCTTCCAGAAGCTCCATCTAAGGAAAGCAGGGACACCCTCAGGCCACCACAGGCCAAATGGAATCAGCTCTGCCTGCAGGTGCTCTGGTGGTGGAGGCTGGAGTAGCAAGGGTGCCTCATAGTAGAGAGAGCTTTGAGTGGGGCTTTGGGGGCATGGGTTGGAGACAGAGAAGAAGGGCGAGGATGTTCTAGGCAGAGGGACAGCATGAGCAAAGAAGGGTGGGGGCAAGGGTAGTGGTGTGTTGGGGGAAGAGTGTGATCTTGGTAAGGCTGAAGTTGGAGGTGTGTGCTATTAAGGAAAATGCTACCTGGGGTTTCCACAAACATCCCCTTACCTCCAAATACCCTGGGCAGTGAAGAGCTATTGAAAGAGGATTATTTCCCATCTGCCTCTTCTCCAAGCCTGCACCTTCCCGACTCATAAAGAAATGCACTTCCCCAGGATGCCCCTCTCCACAATCATGCACATCTGACAGACGCTCCCTGGGCCACAGGATCGCACATCCTCCCAGAGGCAGCACAGGTAGCACAGGACCTCCCAGATGCTACCAGATCCTGAGGGCAGAGAGTGCAAAAGGTAGAAGGAGTGCCACAGGGCAGATCTTTTCGGAGGGCTGAGTCCGCAGCTCCTTCTTCACAAGCCCTGTTTCTCTCTCTGAGTTTCTGCTCTTGGTATTCATCCCGATCCATCATCCAGCCATCTATCCATCCATCCATCCTCCCATCCACCAACACAACCATCCATCATCTTAAGTACTCACTATGTGCCAGGCACTGTCATCATCTTGAGTACTCACTATGTGCCAGGAACTATGCTAAGTGCCAGGAACACAGACATGACCAAGACAGGCCCTGCTTTCACAGACCACAAGAAGTTTGGAGGGGTGGGTATAACAACCATTAAACAAGTGAGCAAAATAAGGACAGAACTGCAAAGGATGGCAGGTGCTAGCAAGGAAACCAGGGAGCCTGGCAAGGAGTGTTAGGGTCTGGTGGAGATGTAGTCAGTGGAGGACTGAGGAATACGCTGTCCACTGCAGGCTGTTGGACTGAGTTCTGGGCCTTTGCAGTTCACAGCTCAAGGTGCCTTAATTACGGATAGTTTGTGTGAAAAGTCTTTGGCTCTGTTCTTCAATTTTAGGATAATAAGTCTCTTTGAGGGGTGGGCAGCCCTTGGTTTCTGGCATTTGATGCTTAATTTGTGCCCACTTCCCTCCCTACTCCCCGCCCATCCCTGCTGTGTCAGTCACACCAGCCCTTGCCTGGGGATGTGGTATTCATGCCATTTGCCATATCAAACTTGGTGAGGGTGGGGACTGGGGGCTGTATTAGGCTTGTAACCCTCTCTAAAGCCCCAGCGCCCACTGCTCAGTATTCCCCCTGGACTCCTGACACACTGATTAGCAAGAGCAGGTACAAGTGTCAATTCTTGTTGGTGATCAAAAAGCCATGTGCGAATGTGTTGAGGGATTGCGTGTGTATGTGCATGGGGCACCGGAGTGTGTGTGTGCATGGCTCTTGGCATATGAACTCAAGTGTCCTATGTAGGCATGAATGTACATGGGTGGACCAAGTAGACACTGTAAGTGGGGGGGGGGTGTGGATGTCTTTGTGTCCGTGACTGTGCTTTGTGTGCATTTGTGTGTGTGTGTGCCTCCATGGGAGGGTGAGTGTGAATTCATGTGTGTGGGGGGGGCCTAAAGTTCTTCATGGGAGTGTGTACGTGTGTTTTTGGCATATGCTGGGTGGGAGTCAGTCGGCTGAGGCAGCCCAGGACTGTGTGCCGAGGAGGGGGAAGGATCAAGGGGTGGAGGAGGACTCTGTGCTCCCTCTCTTTCTTGCAGCAGCCTGTTTCATCTCTCAGCTCTGTACCTGGGGCCAAGCTGTTTTGGCAGCCCAGGAACTCATGGCTCCCAAAGCCCCAGCAGGGTCCCAATTTTCTCTGTCTTCCTGAGAGATGATGGTTCCAGGTAGAAGGAACAAGAACCATGTACTCTTCCATGTACTAACAGTAAAATGTTAACATATTTATGTAAACCACATGCAAATGGACCCAGCTTCTTTCAACCCCCTGCCTGTCGGAGTCATAGATAAGACTCATCCAGGGCTTAAACTTCAACACCATCCTTGGCAGCCCACATCTCTCCAGATCTTCCTGTCTCCAGTTTTACTCCCTCCAATCCATCCTCCCCCATCAGTAGACTATGGCCCTCAGAGGCTAGTCTGCCATGGCTCCCCAGTTTCTCAGTCTGGCACTCAAGGCCCTTCCCTCCGTGGCACCATGGATCACACCTCTGCCTGGGTCCTCCTCTCCCCACACCATCTACCCCCAGCACCACAAGGGCAGCTTCTTGCCTTCAGTGTTCCCCTCTCTTCAGGCTCTACTTGTCCTCTCCACGCTTCAGTGCCAGTTCAGGGAGCCTCCCAGATGCCCTCCCCTCTGTGCTACCCACCTAGTCTGCCTTCTCCTTCTTCCTCAGGTATGAGGTTCTGCACCACCTCCCCTCATGTCCCCCACTCATCCCGCCCCAGCCAGACTGCGAGCTTCCTGAGAACCTGCTGGTCTCCTCCTCCCCATCTGGTCCTGGCAGGGGACCCAGAGCCAAGGCAGTCAGGGACTGCTGAGTGGGGGGGAGGAAGAAGGAGGGGCCCCTGTTGCAGGCAGGTGGTGAGCAGTTTTGAGTAGGCACTGGAAGCTGGTGACGCAGGTGGGGAGCCTTGCTGGCAGGGCCGGTAGTGGGCACCTAGGCTATCACCCCTTCCTCCCCCACTTTCTCTCATTTTCCTCAACAAGTACCCAAGCAGGTGTGGGGGAAGGGACTTCATAGAGTATGAAAGATGGGCTGAGGGGATCCCTGGTGACTGGCACAGGGAATGTGGAGAGGGACAGGATGCTGTGTGTGGTGGTGAGAGTGGGTCTGGAGAGGGGAAGGTGTGGGTAGAGAAGGGGGTGGAGTGTGTGGTTCTGTCCTCACTTTGCCACTTTCTGCTACATGATCTTGTATAAGTCATTCAACCTTTCTGGGCCTTGGCTCATCTGCAAGGTGGAAACTTGCGTCACACAGTGGTGAGACTCACATGTAGGGCAAAGTGCTTCCTTAACCCATTCATCTATTCATTAATCCATCCACTTCCCCACAGCAGATGCATCATGCTGGACCCTTTCCTCTATCCCAGACTTAGGGGTAGCTCAAAACCTAAGTTAGATGGTGCTGGGAAGCTGATGCTGCTGCCACTAATTATACTAATTATAATCTAGGTCTAAAGAACTCATGGGCTGGAAGATGAAGGGTTAGAAGTCCCTCCATCCCCTGAACTATATACTTGGACTGTGCTGTTGATGGGACAGTGACTGAAAAGACAGAAACAAAAAAGTTCCATTTCTTTGGATCAGCCTTAGAAGGCTTCCTGCAGGAGGGGGTTTTTCTGGAGCTGTCTGCATGGTCAGGAGGACCGGCTTACCATTCAGGCCCACAGACTGGAGTGTGTATGTGCTGGTGTGTGCTGGGCATGGCGAGGGCGCTCTGGCAGAGACTGAGGCTGGGAGAAGTCACAACAAATTCCCTTCTCTGGTCCTTCTAGGTGCACTGTGCCCAGCTGAGTGACAGTGAGGAGTGGAGCCTGCAGGCAGTGGAGAAGCACGTGAGTTGGGGGAGAACCAGAGTAGGATGGGGCTGTCGAAGACCCTTATCACAAGCTGGTTGTCCTGGCCAGGGAGCTGGACAGGCCAGCTTGTCAGTTTCAGCGCCACCCCTTTTGAACTGTGTTACCTTAAGCAAGTCACTAAACCACTCTGAGACTCAGTTTCGTATCTGAACACGGGGGTAATGATAGCACTGACTTACCTGGGGTAATGGTGACATAAAATGGATCAAATACTTTGTAAACACCCCTGGTGCCCGACTTAACAATGGTTAGACTTATTTTTTGACATTAGGATGGGCTTATGGGGACATAACCCCATCATAAGTCCAGGAGCATCTGTACTTAGGAAGGACTATCTAATGATATGGGCTCTTTCATGCTCGAGATTTTGTGATTTTTGTGACTAAGAAGGACTTACTTACAACTTCCCATGGGTGCCCAGAAATTTGACCCTGTCCTGTCTTGGAAGAATCTGGGGCAGAGGGGTAGAGACAGATCCTATACTTTCCTGTTCACCAGCCCAAGGACGCTCCAGGGACAGTGGGAGCCCTCAGGAGGGTGGAGTCCCCCGGGATGAGTTGTTTGTGATGGGCTCGGGAGTGAAGTTAGAGGGGATGGCTGAAAGAGGTGAGGAGTCCTGCGGCGGCCAGCGCAATGAGGGTGGGGCGAGTGGCGCACTAACGGCCCCGCCCGCTCCAGACCCTGGTGGCCCTGCGGAGGGTGCAGGCCGTGCAGCAGCGCCGGCCGGGCGAGGCTCCCAGAGAGGTCCAGAACCCCCCAGAAGCTACGGCCGACGACCAAAAGGGAAGGGTTGCGTACTCCGATCAGGACCGAAAGATCCTGCAACTGTGTGGTGAGAGCCGGGCCTGGGCAGGTTCTGAGAGTAGGACAGTGTCGGACCTGGAGGGGAGGGGCCTGCCTTGTGGGCGTGGCCAGGGAGGTGGGGCGCGGCCCGGATCCCAGTCAGGTCGAATGGTAGGCGGGGTCGGTGGGGTGGGAGGACTAGTGGAGCCAGAGGTAAGCTCCAGCCAGGCTCAGCGCAGCCTTGCGAGAGTCTACGGATGGGGAGGCAGGGCGGAGCCCTCTGTGATCTGGGTCCTGCCCTTGCAGGGGAGCTCTACGACCTGGATGCCTCTTCCCTCCAGCTCAAAGTCCTCCAATACGTGAGTCCCAGTGCACCTCTCACCCATCTCTAGCCCTGTTTCTCGGCCAGGACTCGCGTCCGCTTGAGCCCTCCATCTCAGCTCAGATTCCAATGTTCCGACCCACCCCTTCTTCCAGAGAGGCGGGAGGGGCAGGCAGTGGTGGAGAGGCCCCAGAACCGCAGTCAGCCTCTCGCTCTGTCTGTCTCTCCCTCTCAGCTGCAGCAAGAGACTCGGGCATCCTGCTGCTGTCTCCTGTTAGTGTCCGAGGACAATCTCCAGCTTTCCTGCAAGGTGAGGACCCAGGTCGACTGCGGGGCTGGGCTGGGCGAGGAACTCAGGTCTCTGAGAGGAAACCTTGCTGTTTCTTTAACCGGCCCCTCCTCTCCTTCCTCAGGTCATTGGAGATAAAGTGCTAGGGGAAGAGATCAGCTTTCCGGTGAGTCCGCCTGTCCCCTGGAGTAGGCCATTAAGGCAGATAGACACCCCTGGGATCTGCGTGGAGTACTTGGATCCTCTAGAATCTCTTGGAATCTGATAGAATTATCTGGCTTTGGGATCCGCTTAGAACTGTTACAAGGGATCACAGCCTCTCAATGATCAGGCTCTATTAGGAGAAATCTCTTATCTACAGAGAGGCTTTCTTGGGATTAGTCACTGCTGTTGAGATCAGTGAGAATCCTGGGAGTTTGCCTAGTCTCTCCCTGTTGAGAAGACCCTAGAGTCCCCTGTAGTGGGTTCTGCCAGACTCCCCCTGCATCTCTCTGCTGCTCAGTGTTGACCCTATTCACCATTTGGATTGACCAAAGAGTTCATTGAAACTTCTAGACTTGATGGTAGGGTTGGGTTGAGATCCCTCAATCTGGAGAGAGTGGGGCCCTGACTCAGCCACTCCTTGCTCTCCAGTTGACAGGACGCCTGGGCCAGGTGGTGGAAGACAAGAAATCCATCCAGCTGAAGGACCTCACTTCTGTAAGTTATGGCTGGCTGAACCAGGAGATGGGAAAAGGGGAAATGCTATTGCCACCCTCCAGAGCCAGAGTCTCTGGGACAGGACAGCTGAGGAATACAGGAGACAAGACCCAGGGAACTTTTACCACCCCCTCCCCATGTCATAGAGCTTCTGTTCCTGCATGAGTCCCTTATAACTGCCTGTTGCAGAGTGTGGTGGAGGGCTGGGAAGGAAAGAATACTCCCTCCCTGCTTCCCTGCCCTGACTTGCCTTCCCATAGCAGGAGGATGTGCAACAGTTGCAAAGCATGCTGGGCTGTGAGCTGCAGGCCATGCTCTGTGTCCCTGTCATCAGCCGGGCCACTGACCAGGTGGTGGCCTTGGCCTGCGCCTTCAATAAACTTGGAGGAGAATTGTGAGTCTGGGCAGGGTGATGGGGGTTGGGAGATTTAGCTGAGAGACTGGGCAAGGTGCCACTAGGGTAACATAGTGGGAAGGGTACTAGGCAGGGGGCTACTGTCCCAGCACTGGTAATCAGAACATTTGGTTAGTGCAAGAGACTATGGGGTTATGGAAGCTTCCAGACACCTGCCGTGGCCTGAGGCACACAGGTCATTGCAGACTCTTAGAGTCAGGCTGAGGTCCAAGCTGGTTCCCCTTTTCTCCCCGCTACTTCCTACAGCTTGGATTAACCTTCTCTTAGGGTGCTGGCCTTCTCCCCACTTGCCATCCCCTGTTTCCGCATTACTGCTAGAAACTACCTGATGGAGGTGTCAATGTACTCTGGGATGGGTGGACCTTCTGGGAGCACAGATTATGATCAATACAGTGGCTACAAGGAATAGGCTTTGGGTCTGGGGGAAGCTGTTGGTTGTTTGAGCCTCTGACAGAGTGAAACTGTACAGAGCACAGTGTCCAGGTAAACAGAGACTTAGTCAATAAGCATATCTCCATAACTGAGGTCAAATTTGGAATCCAGGAATGGTATTATGGATAAATTTCATGTGCTATCCCAACTCATTAATTGGTAGTAGTTGCCTGAATCATCGTGTTATGAATAGATCTTAATTCTGCGAGAAAAGGCATTATGTCAGATTAGCCATGTCTGTCCAGGGTGGGGGTTCACACTTGGACTGACAGATCTAGCATTTTGTGCTGAGTCATACAAGTAGAGAGAAGTAGGCAGATGAGGGGTTGAGTCCTGATGTAAAGAGATGCTGACAGGAGGCTGCCCCTGGAGTGTGAATGAGCAGGCTGGGTTTGAGTGCCTGGAGCTCCTGAGGGAAGTGGAGACAGGAGAGGTGTTGGAGCCTTGGGGTGAGGCCTGCTGGGGTAGGGCAGAGACCTGAGAATCCTAGATCTGAGTGAGCATCAGGACCTGCCTTTGAAGTGCTCTGTAGACAGTTGGGTGGGCCTGGGGAAATAGGGATGAAGCAGAATCAGCTGTGACATTTGGAACTGGTAGGTATCCTGGTGGTGGGAGCATTTATTATGAGCAAGAACACATGGAGCACCTAACGTGTCCATCTAAGTGCTGGCCTGATGGCCTTGGGAAGGCCTTTGGGAAGGGGAGTCTAGAGTGAGTGGGAGAAGGGGCCTAGCAGCAGCCATGACCTCTGGCTACTGGCTGTGGGACTGGGTTCTAGTATGGCCCCCAACCTGGAGGAGAGGTGATATTAGAAGGAAGGCAAGATGGGTTTTTGGTGACAGCCCTGAGCCTCAGGACAGGGGCAGGGCCATCTCTGGGTCCCACATATTTTAGAGAGGGAGTGTTAAATGACTGTATGAGTGAGAGTGGAGCTTAGCTCAGTGCAGTTACTGTGGAGAAACTTTCTGGAACACAGCTAAGTAGCAGAGTGCAGGGGCTCCAGAATCCCTTCTGCTTGGAGTAGGATGGGGTTGGTGGCAAGGACAGCGGTGGGGTACAGGTAAGACATTAGCAAACACCTCCCAAATATCTCCCCTGTGCCAGGCTCCACATTGGCTATGGGTGATACTGCCATAAGACTTGAAGCTTATTTTCAGGGCATAGAGGAATCCTTTTTTCCTACCCTAGAATAGATTCTAGGTTGAGGGAACAGGGTAGAAAAAAGCATGAAGGTGTGAAAGAGCCTGAAGCTTTCTCGGAACGATGATCATAGTATGGCTCAAGCTGAGAAATGCCCATGGATGAAGGGTGAGAAGGGGGTGGGCCCAGAATGAGGGGCCTCGAATGCCATGGGAAGGAAAGTGTGCAAACAGAGCCAGGGTGGTGGGCATTGGGATCTAGACCTGAATCATATGATAGCTGGCATAATGGGGGATCCTCCGGCAGTGGGGAGCACTGAGGCCAGCCAAAAAGAGGGAAGGGCCCCAGGCGGGGATATCTGGGGGCAGGGAGATGGGGGCTGAGGCAGGCTCCCACCCCATGATGCCCCCCCCATTGTTCTACACTGCCCTGTGCTGCTCCCTGATGACAAGTCATTTGGTGGCCAGATTGAATGACCTCAACAGGACTTAGGGTTGGTCTTGTCAGGCAAGAGCTAGCTCCATGAGTAGGGCCAGCACGGACTGTAGCTGGACAAAACAGGGTTGTACTACTGCCCCTCCCTAAGGCTGGAAGGGCCCTCAGGGAGAGCAGGAGAGCACGAACTCTAGCCTGGGCAAGTCTCTAATCTAGGGGAGGAGACTCAACTTTGATCTCCTTTGGTAAATTCCAAATTGAGTAGGGAGCTATGGCTTTGGCTTCAAGAAGCAATAGACCTGGCTCAGCGCCTATAGCTCAAGCGGCTTAGGTGCCAGCCACATACACCAGAGCTGGTGGGTTTGAATCCAGCCCAGGCCTACCAAAAAACAATGACAAATACAAGCAAAATATAGCTGGGCATTGTGGTGGGTGCCTGTAGTCCCAGCTACTTGGGAGGTTGAGGCAAGAGAATTGCTTAAGCCCAGGAGTTGGAGGTTGCTGTAAGCTGTGACGCCATAGCACTCTACCCAGGGTGACAGCTTCAGGCACTGTCTCAAAAAAAAAAAAAAGAAAGAAAGAAAGAAAGAAAAGAAGTAATAGACCAAGGAAGAAAACACATTTTAGTTTGAGGAGCATCAGAGCCTCCCCTCAGGGGGCCCCCAGTCTAGGGTTGTGGCTGTGCTGGTTCCAAGTGCCTATGCAGTAGAGCCTGCCCAGGGAGACTTATACTTAGTGGATAACCCACTGATATTCTGGGGGAATGGAAGCTAGGAGAATGGGGAGAGAAGCCTGCCTTCCCTTCCCTCTCGGGTGACCCCACCCCCACCACTCGGCCAGGTTCACCGAGCAGGATGAGCATGTGATCCAGCACTGCTTTCACTACACAAGCACAGTGCTCACCAGCACGCTGGCCTTTCAGAAGGAGCAGAAGCTCAAGTGTGAGTGCCAGGTGAGTGATCTGCCTTCAGCCTTCCTTGGGGACCAACTCACCCAGCTCTCAGCTTCAGAGAGCCATCAAAAGAGAAATTCCCACCTGCCGGAGGCAACTAGATAGCCTAGTGCCTTGGAGGCCTCAGAAAGAGGGAAGTCAAGGAGCTCCTCAGAACCCATACCACTGACCGCAGACACTGTATGTGGTCGCCCTCTAGTGTTCAACACAGGTACCACAGCAACATCTGGGAGGCAAGAGCCCTAGGGGAATGCCAAAGCTCTGGACTCTGGAGACTCCTGCTCACCTGCACTGAGGGCATTCCACCCCCACCCCCACTATGCACTCAGTAGCTAAATGGCATAATTGGATACGGACAGTTTCCAGCCTATCTGGGGGAGCTCCAGGGGAGGAATGAGAAGACCCTGGGGCTGTAGAGGTGGAGGGGGAGCTGGATAGGAGTAGCTCTGAGACCCAAACCTCTTGTGATCCCCACTTCCTCCATTCCAGGCTCTTCTGCAAGTGGCAAAGAACCTCTTCACTCACCTTGGTAAGCCCACTGTTCTCTGTGTCTGGCAGGAGGGTGGGGCTTGGGGGCTGATATTTGGGAAGGAGAGGTAGGAAGGCTGGGCCTTGGAGCTCTAGCCTGGTCTCATCACTGTTCCATGCTTCTCTCTCCCCCAGATGACGTCTCTGTCCTGCTCCAGGAGATTATCACAGAGGCCAGAAACCTCAGCAATGCAGAGATGTGAGTGAATCTACCCAGGGGATGCCGTGAGTGAGACCCTAGACCTCAGGGCTTATCACTTCATTTTCCTCCCTTTTCCCCTGGCTGCCTTCTTGTGGGACCCCATCACCTTTTGAGTGATCCTTTATTTCGTGGCTGCCAGCTTCACTGAACTGTGAGCTCTAATGACAGCAAGGGCAGGGCTACCCTTGCCTGCCATATAGTCTCATCTCCTAACAGTGGCTGGCACACAATAGGTGCTCAAAAGATTATTTGAATGGATGATTGCCCTGCAATCAGCCAGCCTGAGAAGAATGTCTTGCCTCCAAGCACTTCTTCCAGGCCTCAGAGATCCTGCCTTTGCCTCACCAGAGGTGGCAGTGGTGGGACAGGGTTGTCCAGATTCTGCAGACCAGCCCTTCCCTTACCCCTTCCCAGTTGCTCCGTGTTCCTGCTGGATCAGAATGAGCTGGTGGCCAAGGTGTTCGATGGGGGCGTGGTGGACGATGAGGTGAGGGAGTATGTGGCCCTGAGGGCTGTCTTGGAGTCCGATGGGAGCAAGCCCTACGTTTGCTGGTCCCCTCTGTAGTCGGGCCACTAACGTCTTCCTCTCTACTCCATTCCTGCCGCGGCAGAGCTATGAGATCCGCATACCCGCCGACCAGGGCATCGCAGGCCACGTGGCGACCACCGGCCAGATCCTGAACATCCCAGACGCATATGCCCACCCGCTTTTCTACCGCGGTGTGGATGACAGCACCGGCTTCCGAACACGCAACATTCTCTGTTTCCCGATCAAGAACGAGAACCAGGGTGCAAGCTCGTGGCGGCCCTGGCGGAGGGGCGGGGACAGGGCGGGGCCGGAGCGGGGTGGGGCGAGGCCGAGCGTAGGGTGGGCTGTTCTTCCCCACTACCTCACGGTACAGCGTCGTACAGCAGAGGGGCGCGGGATCCATGCCTGGGCGGTCACCTGTGGGCACTCTACGAGGGCAGGTTACCGCCCGACCTGTCACCCAGTCTTTCCTAGCCTCTCTCCCTTCCTCAGAGGTAATTGGAGTGGCCGAGTTGGTGAACAAGATCAATGGACCGTGGTTCAGCAAGTTCGATGAGGACCTGGCCACCGCCTTCTCTATCTACTGCGGCATCAGCATTGCCCATGTGAGGGCAGGGATGGGGAGGGGGGATTTTCGGTTCTCTTTCCCCAGTGGCTCTCTCTCCTTGCTCTGTCCACGCTGGTTGATTCCCTGGTCAGAGCCCTGCTGCTGGGGTGCTGTGCAGCCTTTAGTACTCTCTGGCAACCTCTAGGCTCAGTTTTCCATGTGAAAATTGGGAATACTGTTTCTCGCCCTGTCCACTCAGCCTACCAGGAACAAGAGAAACTCTGGTTGTCAAAACCTCCCCCCTTCTCTGGAAGCAACCTCAACCCAACCCCCTGCTGAGCTTCATTTTGGGAAATGTTGGGTCTCACTTTTCAGGCCTGCTGATGGCTCTGGCCTGGGAATCCCCCAGGTCCCTGGCATTATCCCCCTCCCTGTTTCTCTTTCCCTGCCTTGGCCTCTGGGCTCTGTCACTGGGTCAGGCTTAGGAGGAGTGCAAAGTGTTATATCAAATGCTGAGAGGATCTGGGGAGGAGGAGCATGAGGTTAAAGGTGGGGGTGGGGTCTATACTCTGGGCTGGGACACAAAGGCTCAGACTAGGGGCCGAATGGGACAGGAAGGGGATTCTGCCACATCTCTTTGTCCTAGTTCTGGACATTTCTGAGAGTTCACAGCTGTTTTCCTCAAGCCACACTTTTTCCTCTCTCTCCTAGTCTCTCTTATACAAGAAAGTGAATGAAGCCCAGTATCGCAGTCACCTGGCCAATGAGATGATGATGTACCACATGAAGGTGGGTGAGGCCTGCCAGGAGCGACTGTCCTCCCCCCCAGCATCCCCAGGAGGCCCAGGCTTAGGCTGGGCTTCCTGATTACTGTCTACTGAGGATGAGAAGACAGATGCAGAGAGACACAAGGCCTCCTGCTCACCTTAGGGCCAGCCTGCCTGCCCCTACTCCCAGAGCTGTTTTGAGTTCAGCCCCAAGGCTGGAAGGAGCCAGTAGGACCAGCCCAGGGAATAACTTGATTCAGCCAGATATTTCCCATGTCCAAGGAATAATCCCCACCTTGGGAATTCTTGAAGGCTAGGAAGCCTACCTGGGATCTTTCCCCAGCTCCCCCATGTACAGTGGTCATATAGCCCTGGAAAATCCTCACTGCTGCTATGCCATCCCATTCCCAGATTCCATGTCAGAAAAGCTGGCCCAGACCTTAGTCAAGAGTATAGAGTAATCACAATGTGGACATTTCCTGTCACCTGTGTCCAAACTAGACTTTTTGAATATGATCAAAATTATAGCAAGAAGAGAAAACCCTGGGAAGTTCTCCCTAAAAGGAGAAATACTAGAGTTGGTATTTATGAAAGGCTGCCATGGCTTGGAGGGTCACAAATGGTGACATCCTTGCTAAGGATATGCTGTTATAGATAAAGGGTGGTCATAGGCAGGGAAGTGTAGTAGGTGGGCTGTAGGGCTATGAGGGAGGTAGGTACCTCCTGCCCAGCGAAAACCCATGGATTGATGGCCCAACTGTGATGCATTCTGGGTGAGGGGCTCTTCATCTGCTATGGGAATCTGAGGGTGAGGACTCTGTAAGGGGTGGAGGCTGTCTTCTAATGACCTGGCTGGTCCACTCTAGGTCTCTGATGATGAATATACTAAACTTCTCCATGATGGGATTCAGCCAGTAGCTGCCATTGACTCCAACTTTGCCAATTTCACCTATACCCCTCGCTCTCTGCCTGAGGATGACACATCCATGGTGAGCTAGCCCTTCTCTACTTGATTGGGGAGGCAGAGGGCATGCAGCCAGAGATTTGAGTTAAATGTGCATAAGAACTTCCTAGTAAGATGGAGTCTTCAAGGAAGGCTGTGGAGGCTCCCTTACAGATGGAATGGGGCCACAGGGGCTGGACTGGATGATTCCAAAGGCTGCTCATGAACCAACAGTGCCCAGGGGATGTGACCTCAGGACTTGTACCCCCTCATTGTTTCTCTAAGATTTGTGTGAACTTGATTCTAAGAGTTCTTAAATCTTCATCCTTAGATCCCTTAGATGTCTAAAAGTTCACAGTTCCGAGAATGCTTGGTTTGGCTATTTTATGGTTTTCTCATTTAGATTTAAGGTTCTAAGACTCCACAATTTTGAGTATGGGACTTGAAGAAGGGTCCAGGCAGAAGCCCCATCTTGATACTGACCACCCTCTTATATGTCCTCCCGCCCTCTCCAGGCCATCCTGAGTATGCTGCAAGACATGAATTTCATCAATAACTACAAAATTGACTGCCCAACACTGGCCCGGTGTGTCCACATGCAGACAGCTCCAGTCTTGCCTCCCTCTGTCCTCCACTTTCACATCCACTGTCCCCATTGTTCTGGGGAGAGTTCTTTTTGAGGTCAACTAGGGGAGGCTCAGTCTTAGCGGATGGGGAGGATCCATGAAGAAAAGCAATTCCCAGACATTGGGACTGTCAATAATGGCAAGACTTGGGGCTAGGCAGAGACAGAAGGGCTTTCTGGAGGAGGAGAGGCTGAGGTCCCTGTGCTGTCCTCTCCCCTCCCCCAGGTTCTGTTTGATGGTAAAGAAAGGCTACCGGGACCCCCCGTACCACAACTGGATGCATGCCTTTTCTGTCTCCCACTTCTGCTACCTGCTCTACAAGAACTTAGAACTCACCAACTACCTCGAGTGAGTGGCTGCATCCTCCTGCATCTGGTAGCTGCTGGGGTCCCCTTCCCTGGGACAAGGAAGTACCCCCTGTGTGGCAGGCATTTACATGTACCACTTTATCAGCTCCTCTTAACAGGCCCACTTTCCAGAAGGGACTTACCCATGGCCACGCAGCCAGTGAATAATGGGCCTGATTTAAACCTAGGTCTGCCAGACTCCAAACCAGACCTATTTTTTTAGGAAGGGGACCCAGGTGTCCCCACCTGTCCAAATAGCTCCTGGACATCTCATCCAGCTGTCCTTTCTCTAAGAGGCCTGGGAGAGAGCTGTGGCCTGACCTCTTTCTCCTTTCTGCCTCCCCACCAGGGACATCGAGATCTTTGCCTTGTTTATTTCTTGCATGTGTCACGACTTGGACCACAGAGGCACAAACAACTCCTTCCAGGTGGCCTCGGTGAGACCCTACCCTCTTCACAATGGAGACCCTCCCTCCTCGGGTGTCTGGCAGTCTCACCCCCTCCCAACCTGAGGAAGGTGGGAGTTAGTGGGAGCCAGGTTTGGAGCCAGGAGGAGGCTCTCTCTGGTTGCCCCAGTACCTAAGCTAGGGAGGGGAGAAGGGCAGGAAGGAGCAGGACAATGCTTAGTCTAACTGCAGTGGTTCTCAACCTGTGGGTCGTGACTCCTTTTTAACAATGAAAATACATTGCGGCATTAGGAAGGTTGAAAACCACTGGTCTAACGCAATAGAACTTGGATCCACATGTGAGGAGTGACTGGGTTTTTCCTGGGCTTTTCCAGAAATCTGTGCTGGCTGCACTCTACAGCTCCGAGGGCTCTGTCATGGAGGTACTGCCACTTTGCTCACCCCTACCCTCCTCCTCTCCTTAAGGCTACTGACACAGTTATGACCTAGCTCCTCCTATTTGTAAACCATGTCTCCAGACAGGCTGTGAGAGCTGCAGCTACTTCAAGGGCATGTCCAGCTCATTGCCCTGGAGTGGGCTTAGGGAGGTGCAGGTGGGGACTTTTGTTCAGCATGTTTCCCTCTGGCTGTCTGGGAACACCTCATGCCGCCCATCCCCCAAGCTTGGGATGGGCTCCACGCTCATCACACTCACCTGTCTTAGATTGTTTGGTTCGGGTCTGCCCACCTCCACTTAGGGGCAAGGACAAAGTCTGAGATGTCTTTTAGTTTCCTGCACTTGGCCTGGGACTTGGCACAAAGTGGTAGCCAAATTTCCAAGGTCACCTTGCCCATGTTGCCTCTCACAAAAGAGGCCGCCCCTGCTTGCACACCTCTAGAGATGAGGTGCTTTCTCTCTCGCTCCCCTGGGAAGCCTGGTGGCAGCCCTGGTTCTGCCCTCTGCCGCCAAGGATAAGCCTGCTCTTCCTCCGAGTGACAGCCCTTCAGCATCAGGAGACAGGGGCTTGCCCTTGCCTCATCTCTGACTCTCCTTGTCAGCAAACAAATGTTTTCTGCATGAATTAGTGTCTAGAACTCCAAGGGACCATTTCAGAATTTTTCCAGCTTGTGAGGCTCTCAGATCTTGTTGGGTGTCTCCATGTCATGTGACAACTGAGGAATCTGAGGCTCAGAGCCAGCTAGGGACTTGCCCTGGCTCACACAGAAAGTCACCTTAAACTCAGAAAGAGAAGTGAGGTCCTTGACTCCCTCTCTCTGCCTGCTCTGCTGGCCTTGGGGGCCAGGGCCTATTCAGGCTCTGCTCCCTCTCTTGGGGTCAGAGGTGAGGGGAGCCCCTCTGCCCCAGCTGGGCCCCGTCATTCCTCTCCCCCCAGAGGCACCACTTTGCTCAGGCCATCGCCATCCTCAACACCCACGGTTGCAACATCTTCGACCACTTCTCCCGGAAGGTGATGGGGCTATGGCTGGAGATGGGGGTGGGGTGGGGTGGGAGCTGGGAGCTGGCTAGAGATAGGAGAAGGAGCTAAGGGGTGGAGGGTCCTGGAGGGAGGTTGAATGGGTGGAGTACACAGCAGGAGGCCATGACACCTCTCCACTTGCCCTGGCCCAGGACTATCAGCGCATGCTGGACCTGATGCGGGACATCATTTTGGCCACGGACCTGGCCCACCACCTCCGTATCTTCAAGGACCTCCAGAAGATGGCCGAAGGTGCCTGCTGTTAGCCTTGGGCCTCAGGGCTGGGAAGGGGCAACCTGGGAAACACTTGCCAGGGGAGGGTCCCCAGGGGATCAGCTCTCTGCCTTCTAGGATAAGCCTGCTTCTCCTCCAAGTGACAGACCCCATGGCATCAACCCCTGCCCTGGCTGCACAGTCCAAGCAGAGAGGCCCCTTGGCACCCATCTAGACTGCCCAATTCCCTGGGCCACGCTGCGGTGGGCCTTGGGAGCCTTGTCCTCAGAAGGGGCAAGGAGTATGGACACCTCTCCTGGATGCCATCCTCCCCCCAACAGTGGGCTATGACCGAACCAACAAGCAGCACCACAGACTCCTTCTCTGCCTCCTGATGACGTCTTGTGACCTCTCTGACCAGACCAAGGGCTGGAAGACCACAAGGAAGATTGCAGTAAGTGCTAGCCCTCCCTGGGGAGGCACAGGCTAGGCTACACACCTGCCTGGCTCTGTGTAGCCCCTGCAGCACCCCTTCTCTGTGCTGAGCTCAGCCTGGCTGTATTTTGGGGAGACAGAAACCTAGACATCTCAAGGTAACAGATGGGGAGACTCAGAGAGGGACACAAAGTTACCAAGGGTCACACAGCAAGTCAGTGGACCAGAACCCAGCTACTCCTTCCCATCTGGGGCTATCCCACTGCTGAGCTGAGGCTGGTGAAGACAGGTCCTGAGGTGTGACTGAATCACTGGGCCTTGTTCTCTGTGCTCTCCTGGGAAGGGGCTATCTGAGGAGCTTGGGATGCATAGGATGTGATGAGATTTTTGGCCTTTTAGGAGCTGATCTACAAAGAATTCTTCTCTCAGGGAGATTTGGTATGTGTGGAGTGATTTCAGGATGTCCATGTTGGGGGAAGGTTGGGGAGGCTGGCCTAAGGTAGGGAGGGCTGGGTTAGCCTGACCCTAGTACCTGATGGAGGAATGGGAGGAGCAGGCCTGATGATGTGATGCCTTTAGGAGAAGGCCATGGGCAACAGGCCAATGGAGATGATGGACCGTGAGAAGGCCTACATCCCCGAGCTGCAGATCAGCTTCATGGAGCACATCGCAATGCCCATCTATAAGTGAGCAAACCCACATGGGTGGCTGGGCACCCTGCTCAGAAGGGGTGGGACCAGGTGTGGACGTCACAGTAAATGCAGAAGCTGAGTTTGGCCTGGCCCGGCTCCAACTGACCCACCCCTCTGCCTCTGGGCACAGCTGTCCCCTGCTTTGCCCCTAAGTGGACCCTGCACTTCATCTTTGGTCCTCAATGTGAAGAGACCATCATGCTTTCCTTGTGGGTCCAGTCCTGTGCTTTAGACTCTTGTAAGAGTTCTACCTCTGGCATAGCCCTAATCTTTCTTGCTGCCCACAGTCTGAGTTTTGACCTCTAACTCTGACCTCCTGCACCTGTAGGCTGTTGCAGGACCTGTTTCCCAAAGCGGCAGAGCTGTATGAGCGTGTGGCCTCTAACCGTGAGCACTGGACCAAAGTGTCCCACAAGTTCACCATCCGCGGCCTCCCAAGCAACAACTCGCTGGACTTCCTGGATGAGGAGTATGAGGTGCCTGATTTGGATGGCACTCGAGCCCCCATCAATGGCTGTTGCAGTCTTGATGCTGAGTGATCCCCTCCCTGGACCCTTCCCTGCCCAGGCCTCCTCCCACTGCCCTCCACTGGTCTGGCCAGACCCACTGGGAACCAGAGCCACTGGACTGTAGACCAGGACTTCCCATGTGATGCTGGGCAAGTGCTGACCTTCCTGGCCCTCAGCTTTCTTATCTGTATAATGGAAGCAAGACTTCCAGCCACACTGAGACTTTGTGATTTGTCCTTTGAGAGTACGGGGTGACCAAATGAGCAGTGGGCCCCGCTCTCTGCCTCTGACTGCACCTCCCCAAGCCATTCTTTCTCTGAGCAGCTTGATGGTTTCTCCTGTGCTCCATTCTGCCACACCAGGTCTGTGCCCTTTTCTGCTGGAGGACCTCCACTCCTTGGGGTCTCTAGGATCCTCATGGGAGGGGAAGGTGGGACACCTGAGTGAACAGAGGGTGAGGCCTTGTAAACAGTCCTTGCAAACAGTTTTGCTAGAGGACTAGAAATAGCCATGCAGCACAGTTGCCCCCCAAAGACCACCACTATACTGATGGGGGGTGGGGCCAGGGGTTACATGGACCTGGGGAGAGGGAGCTCTGGAGGAAAGCAGGATGACAGTGATGGGCAGGAAGGGTCCTTGCACTAGGAGACAGGCCCAGGCAGGCATCAGCCATGCCTTTCCCTGCCTGTGTGATCCTGGGCAAGTCCCTCCCTCTGTCTTGGAAAAACATGAGGGTAAGAAAATCTGTTTTCTAAGATCCATTATAGATCAGTATCTAAAATGGCTTCATAGTTCTGTGGAGTCCCACAGAGGTTTTGGAATGTCTCTGTCACCCTAAGGCACAGAGAGCCCAACCCTGAGTCCCTCAGTGGCGCCCTGATTGTATCCCCTCTGCCCGAGCTATTTCCCTCTTCCTGCAGCCAGAGAGAGACCTGGCCTTAGCCCTGGCAGGGCTTTCTCCTCTTGAAGGCCATATCCACCTGTGCCCCAGGGCTTGGCCTCTTGAGTCAGCCCAGCCCCTGGCTTCTCTCTTCTCTGTTTTGTTCTGTATGTGTTGTGGGGTGGGGGGAGGGGGGCCACCTGCCTTACCTATTCTGAGTTGCCTTTAGAGAGATGCGTTTTTCTAGGACTCTGTGCAACTGTTGTATATGGTCCCGTGGGCTGACCGCTTTGTACATGAGAATAAATCTATTTCTTTCTACCAATACTCCCTCATGGGGCTATTTGCAGACTTTGTGCATGGGGTGTGTGGGGGTAAACAGAATTGGGAGAGGAAAATGTCCTTTGGAACTGCCTGTCTGCTGGAACCCCCACCTCTGGTGCCTAGCCCCTTTTCTGAGGCAAAGACCCATTGGGGCATTCCCTGAGCCTGCCCTGGGCCAGATGGTGCAGTTTAGGAGTGGATGGCAGATGAAGAGGCCTGGCCATGGAACAGGGAAAGGACAAGTCAGCTGGCAGAGATTGCAGACTAGAAAGAGAAAACTGAGAGACTAATGCAATTAGGAAGACTTCTTGGAAGAGGTGGCCTGAAGCTCCTCCTGGACCTTCCATGTGCTGGCCTACTCTGGTCATGAGTGCCCACATGGAGAAGTGGAGGGATGGGGGTGGGGGAGACAAGCCCAGATCAAGAAGGGCCTTGAACTTCATTCAGGCTGTGGAGTTTGGCTCTAGTCTGTGGGCAGTAGAGAGACTCAGGCAAAGGTTTTCAGTAGGAGAGTGATTCAGATGCGCATTTTAGGAAGATCCTACTGGAAAGCAGAGAAATGATTTCAATGTGGAAGTGTGGGCAGAGATCATCCTATGGGTGGTATTCTGTGCCTGTGGTGGGAGAGGAGAGAAATTCCAGAGATGTGGGATTGGCAGGACTTAGTGACCAATGGGATGTGGATACAGAGAGAGGACTGAGAGGCACCCCGGGAGGTGCCCTGGAAGGTTGGGTCCATGCTGCCCCAGGAAGAGACTTGGGTGGCTGCTCAGCACTGCCCTCACACACTATCTGGTGCTGGGTAGAGCTCTGGCAGGGGGTGAACTTCAGAAGGGCAGCTGTCTGGGGATGCCAGGAGAGAAAGGGAGGAGGAGGCTCCTGCAGAGACTGCCGTGGCCCACCCCAATCATAGAACACAAGGCTTGGTTGGGCTCACTGGCTTCCCTGCTTACAGTGAGTCTGTGGAGCAGATGCTATTACTCCATTCTATAGCCAAGTTGCCTGAGACTCAATTATCCACCAAGGTTAGAATGTGAGCCCTGCCTGTCTGACTCCCCTCCAAGGGCTTTCTCTGAAATAGGACACTCAGGAGGGCAGGGTCTCCGCCTTCAGTCTATGCGGGACTGTTGTGGGGCACAGGGGAGGTAAGTGAGAAGTAGGTTGGGACCTGGAGAAGGAGCTAGGATCAGCTTTGTGTGTGTGTTTGGGGCAGAGGGTGGGGTGGAGGGGCAGCAGACAAAAAGGGATGTGGACAGTGGCTTGTAGTGTAGTTTATGGCCACCAGGTGGTGCCAAACTTTTGCTGTCCTCAATTCCCAGAGGTCAGAGAATGGTATGTGGGGGTGGGGTGGAGTGGGAGTGGGGTGTTGGGGCTAACCTTCCTCTTTGTGGGCTAATCTTATTCCCATTCAGGTTGAGTATCCCTTATCCAAAATTCTTGGGACCAGAAGTGTTTGGACTGTTTTTGGATTTCAGAATATGTATATGCTGTACATATATATATATATATATATTTACTGTGTTTCCCTGAAAATAAGACCTAACCCCAAAATAAGCCCTAGCAGGATTTCTATGCATTTGTTAAATATAAGCCCTACCCTGATAATAAGACCTAGTGATGGGCGTGGCTATGCATTTCAGTGCGGAGCAGTAAGACATCCCCTGAAAATAAGCCCTAGTGTGTCTTCTTGAGAAAAAATAAATATATGACAGTGTCCTGTTTGGGGGGGAAACACAGTATATATATATTTATTTCCTTTTCTTTTTCTTTTACTTAAGACAGGGTCTTGCTCTGTTGCCTTGGCTATAATGCAGTGGCATCATCATAGCTCACTGCAAGTTCAAATCATTCTGGGCTAAAGGATGATCTTCCTGCCAGAGCATCCCAAATAGCTGGGACCGCAGGAGTGTGCAGCCACACTTGGTCAGTTTTTCTATTTTTTGTACAGATGGGGTCTCACTATGTTGGTCAGTCTGGTCTTGAACTCCTATCTTCCTGTCTTGGCCTCCCAAAGAGCTAGGATTACAGGTGTAAGCCACCATACCTGGCCTGGATTATAGTAGAACCTCTGCAAGTCAACCACCCAAGGGACTGTAACAAACTGGTCAACATAGAGAGGTGGTCAACATAAGGAAGTAGGCCTGCTATAGTGATACGTACATGTGGTGCACATCCAGTCTATGAAAGGTAGGTCAGCTTAGGGAGGTGGTCAATGTAGGGAGGTGGTCAACTGTGGTGATTCTACTATATTGGCATATACATAATGAGTTATCTTGGGGCTGGGACCCAAGTCTAAACACAAAATTCACTTGTTTTTTTATATACCTTATACACATAGCCTGAAGGTAATTTCATATAATAGTTTTAATAATTTTGTGCACAAAGCAAAGTTTGTATACATTTAACCAGGGGTGGAGTTTTCTACTTGTGGTGTCATGTGAGCACTGAAAAGGTTTTGGATCTCGGATCTCAGATTTTCAGATTAGGTATCCTCAACCTGTGTGCCCCTTTCAACACTCACAAACACAGCAGCCTTCTCACACCAACACATGCATGCATACACACTCACATACAGACACCTCCACGCGCAGGTGCTATACAGCCTATATCCTACGCAGACTCCACAGAGAAAACAGGGAAGTATTTCTTGGGGACCTCCAGTCCCTGTAGCTATTCTCTGAACAGGACTGAGGTCCATCAGTTCTGCCTGAGTGAGACCTCATGTTCCCTGGGGGTGTCTGCCTGCTGAGTGCTCTCCCTCTGTGGGGGATCCCTAGGAAGGCAGGGCCAGCCTTGCTATCAGGTGTGGGCAGAAGTGATGCCTCCCCCAACCCTCCTCTGTGCATGAAATATTCTGAGTCAGAGCCAAGGTCAGGGAGGGGGCTCAGGATGGGAAGAAGGGATAGGTGATGAGGGCATTGCAGGTAAACTAGGAAAGTGGGCTGGGAGGAGGGGAAGTGCAGCGGGCTGTGCAGCGGGCTGTGCCCCAGGCCTCAGCCCACCCACACTGCTAAGACTCCCAGCATTCAGTCTCCTTGAAACAGGTATGGTGGAGGGGTCCTGGGTGTGAGGAGAGGAAATGAGCCAAGGAAGGCGTGAGGTGGCCAAATGGGCGGGAATGCAAAGACAATGCAGACTCTTAGGAGGGTGCCTGGTCCAGGGAGGCGAAGGAGCTCCGAGCAGGAGTGGAGACCCCTGGCCAAGGTAGCAGGCAGACCAAGGCAGCCATTGCCCCCAAGGCCAGGCTCTGGACAGCACCTGGGGAGAGAAGGGGGATTTGGGGTTAGGAGGGAATGAGAAGGGTGAAGGGAAGGAGGGAGAAGGCTATAGCGCAGTGGTGTAAGGAGATCAAGGATGTCAGAGGAGGTCACTTAGTGACATAATCCGCACTTCTGGGTTCTCTCTCCTGAAACACAAAGCAAGAGCTGTCCCCACACACTGGCACCTCTGCTCTCCAGCGTCTTTGCAGTCCCTCTCAGCCTCTCATCTTCTCCTGGTGGGATGAGCTTCAGGATTCCTTACTGTCTCAGTTTTTCCTTCCCTGAACTGGGGTGATGAGCCCTGCTAGAGGCCTTTGAGATGAGGCAGGGAAGAGGAGACCTGTATAGGAATGAAATCTGACAGGTGGCATGGCCAAATTGTCCTCTGAGGAAGTACCAGGGTGAGTCCACAAAGGAAGCAAAGTGCCACCAGGTTTGGAGACTAACGAATCAGGTGTGAGAACGCAAGGTGAGGAGACCTCCTGCCAAGACAGCTGCCTCTCTCACCCGCTAAATCATCCCTGGAGAAACCGCAGAAACTGAGTGGGAATGTAGGATTCTAGGCAATGGTAGCAGTGGCCTGGGGTGGACTGGGGATGGGGACAGGTAAGAGCTGAAGCTGGGCTGGAAGAGACCACTTGCCTTACACTGCTGGGACAGTCACTGCATCGTCCCCTCTGCGAGACTCCTCAGGTGAGGAGCTGATGTGGAGAGAAGGGGCTGACTTGGTTTCCTTGGGCATCACCCAAAGGCTCTGCTCCTCCCCATTCCTGGGCTAGCGGCTCATAGTCTGGGGCCACGGTTCTCAACCTGTGGGTTGCGACATTTACAATGTAACAATGAAACTACATGGTGGCATTAGAAAGGTTGAGAACCACTGGTCTAGGGAGATACCTCATCTGGGCACTCCTTCTCTTCTAGAGATCCTAGTCAGTGGAGGCGCCAGCAAAAAGCAGTGTCCAGCTGCTGCTATGTGGTACAGCCATCACCTCCACCCTTACCTGAGTCAGGAGCCCAGCACAAACTAGGGCCTGCTTTCAGCTGGTCCCCAGCACACATCACCTATCTGACTCATGCTGCCCTCAAAGGAGACATCTGCCTGCAGGTCAGAGAGTACAATGACTAAAAGAAAGAAAACTTAACAACACACAAGTCTTAGGCAGACTTGCTGGAACAGATGGACCCAGCATTTAGAATAAATGCTTTAAATTTCCTAAAGGGAGATATTAGTAACATGAAA